CGAGAAACAATAAAAAGAAAGGAAAATAATGCAATAAGGTTGTTTGCTTTAGGTACAAAAATGTCATAATCACTTTTAACTATTGGACAATAAATCATATGAATATGAAACTGATTGATAGGGATGCGACATTAACCTTGTTTGAAGTAGAGGTTATATTATTGGAATTTGATAAATACATGATATAAGCCCGATTGTCTAATTTTACATCTAACCACTTTGGGAATTTTATGATCTTTGTATAGGAAGTGTATTTGTCTCTTATCTAAACTAACTAATAAGCAAATAGAAATGAAAAAAGTTTATCTAGAGTGTCTACTCCTTACTATGAAGTAAGGCACACCTCAAATACACACATCAAAGGCAATTATGACATTAGAAAACATTCCAAATGATTATAGACCTAGAGATTTACAAATATATAAGAAAAAATAAGTTTTTAATTCTAAAAAATTGTACTTCTTGACCGTTCATTCAAGATTTTTAAATATTTATATATGTTGTGTTCTATTTTCCAGCAATGAGGTCTTATTTGCATGATGAGTTGGACATTGTTATCACTCTTGTGGATCTTGAAATTCTATGGAATGATGCTTGTGTGAGTCTAGCCTAAGATAGAAAAGGTTTCATGTCGTTATCTTATATGGGTTTGAAGTTATGAAGTGGTATTTGGAAAGTGCCATGAGTGTACTGTGATTTTCTAAGGAACTTATATGCTTTTGAAATAAGATTTTGACTGAGAAAATGACATCCAATTGGCCTCAAATTACCACCATTTGAAAGGTCTCTGAGTCTACTTGGAGTTTAATGTTTATGTTCAGTTGAAATTCTTGATAGTTTGGAAGATGTGTTTCATTTTGTGCTCATATGCCACTGTTAGCAGACTGTGATAATATCCAGAAATATTGCTTCTACTGTATTAAGACTTTGCTTGATTTATTGATATCCAAATGACCAAAAAGCATAGCCATTTGATAGATGCATGAGTCTTCTATGATTTTCATGTTTAACCTTGTCCAATTTCTGTGTAAATGAGGAGCTATGCTAAAAAATGCCCCAATATGTCACTATTGACAGATCTCACATAAACTCAGAATTTTGGTCTTTGTTGCCATGAATTTTGGCTGGCTAAATGGAGTCTAATTACCCCAAAACCATAGCAATTTGAAAGCTTTGAATGTCTACTGAAAGTTGCATGATAAAATTGTTTTGAAATTCCTGCTAGGTTGCAAGCTACGATTTGAATTGTGAACATACGTCACTATGGACAAAATTCAATAAGATTCGAAACCGTATGATGAGCCCTTCAATAATTAAGTGATGCTCAGTTAGCAAATTGGAATCGGAATTTAGTTAAATTCCCCTCATAATTTGGGTGTTATGCCTCATTTTGTATATGCCCATGATTGATAATAACAACAATGAATTTAAGTTGTATATGAGTTATGCACATGTCATGCATTAATGTTTCTTTTGAACATAGCTTAAATCCTTTTGCAAAGTGATAACACACTGAAATGACATGCTTATGGTCCTGCAAATGTTGAATATTCCTGACCTCTTGAAATGATTAAAGTATGAATGAATAAATAATTATGCATGCTTATACACAATACAATTGATATATGTGATATCTGGCTGCTACTCAATGGGTTCTCCATTGATAGTGGATACTCTGTTTCTGTTATATGAATACTGATATCTGGCTGGTACTCAATGGGTCCTCCAATGGTAGTAGATACTCTGATTCTATTATATGAATACTGATATCTGGTTGCTACTCAATAGGTCCTCCATTGGTAGTGGATACTATGTTTCTGTTATATGAATACTGATATCTGGCTGCTACTCAATGGGTCCTCCATTGATAGTGGATACTTTGTTTCTATTATATGAATACTGATATCTGGCTGCTATGCAATGGATCTCATTGGTAGTGGATACTCTATTTTTGTTAGATGAATGCTGATATCTGATTGCTACGCAATGGGTCCTCCATTGATAGTGGTGCATACTGTACCTCGACCCATATGATTGCAGTGGAGTCGAGAGGTGACTGAAAATAAATAGGGAGGGTCATGCCCCCCCAAATTGTCATGGGCACTGTGCATTAGGTCCTCCAATGATAGTGTAATACCCTTTCGCCCAAGGCACAAGAGAGGGTTGTGTCTTGCAAAACCTCAGGTTATCAAAAACCACAAACCGCACTGGGGATTTGTGTGTGAGTAAGGATATTATGAAGTGAGACCTCCACTTGTCATTATCCTCTCTCCTGAATGAGGGTAGAAGTCCCAAGTTTCAGGATTGACTTAGTCTGATCGATGTGGCATTTACTTTGGGAGTGATTTAATTTGTTTTGCTTATCTTAATTTTGTATTTTGTATGAACATTTGATTGTAACTATGTTATGCATAACGGTTGATGCCATATTGAGAACAAGTAATGCTGTGTTAACTCAGTCGCACCCTTTTATACAGCAATTATATGTACTCTAAGCTATGACCATACTCTGTGTAACAAAATGCGACTTCTGATAGACCATGGGCATGTTATTATGTATATAGTGATAGCCGGGAATGCAAGGGCAGTGATCTACTTACTGGGCTTATTGTTCACTTCGTTTATTTCATCTATGTAGAGTGTTAGTACTTGACCGTGTGTGGTGAGCAGCTGACCGGTGATAGCAGGCGTTCGGAATTCAAACCTGTTCAGGATTTCGTTTTGACCTTGTAGGTGCCGGGTAGCATTGCCATGTGTTGTTCTGTTTGATGTAATGTTCAGAGATGAATGTTGGGCTTGTAAGCCTTAAATTTTACCGTAAAGACTTTTGAAGATGAATGAAGTTAATGGTTTCAATTTATTCAGTTTTCAGTGCTTGTTGGATGAGTTTTTATTTATTTCTCGTGGTTTGCTTTGATTCCGCCCTCTTAACACATGTTGATGTCACTTCCACCTGAGTGATGTACGTGACCTCCAGTCACGATCCCGCACTCTATTGCCATCTAGTTTGGGGACGGTAGAGGTCAGGGGGCAGGGTCATGACACTCTCATCCCAATCTTTCTTGATGGCTAAGCCCTAAAAAGTCCATTACGAATCTAATATGACCGTGATGATCAGAGGGCTTATTCATAGACAATCATGGTCTTAATAGAACTATGATGGTCATTCGAAATACAATACACCATTACGGTCCGAGTAGGCCATGAAAAGAGAGAATCATGGCTCGCTTTGTTAGAGCCTTGATGTTCCCTTGTGGTTTTTGGACCATCACGATTCTATTAAAACTATGATGGTAATAAGCCCTTCGACATCATGACAGGGGCCTTGGCTACTAAGAGAGATTTGGGCGGCAAATACGTGCTTGACTTGCAATTGTCGATGAGTTATGACGTGAGAATTTATTTATTTCGATACGACTGTAGCCCTATCAAATTGTTTTCCTTTTATTTTTCAAAGGATTGTATACAATGAGACCATTTACTTTTGAATAAAGAGGTCACAATTATTTACAACTATACGATACGAAATTTGATAGCTTGGGTATATTATACAGTTTGAAAAAATTTCTTTTAAGATTTGAGCTTGATTAATGGAATAAATACATCCATTAGCTTGGGTGTATTATAAAGTTTGGAAAATTTTCTTTTAAAATTTGATCTTGATCAATGAAATAAATACATCTATCTAATTTCACATTCAATGTTTTATTTTGTGATCAACTTGTACCAAAGTTAAATGATGTCATTATATAATTTTCCATTTTCCAAACTCTTGAACCCCACCATCTCCCACATGTAAATACCTTAACCTAGGCGTGAGTGGATCAACCTTGCTTTAATGAGGTATGAGTAGTATGGTGTTAACCGTTTTTATAGAAGGGTGGCATTGTTTGCCATCATCGGGTCCCCAACGTGTGACAATTTATCCTTCTCTCTATCACTTCTCCATTTTGGAGTGAATAAACTTCATTGTTTTTCGGTGACAAGCGTGAATAAACTTATGAGATTTTTTTTTTTTTGTTTTCTGGGTGAGTCAACGGGGAGGGAGCCCTACCTTTATAGAAATTGAACCTAGGACGTAGTGTTACAAATCGTCAAACACAAACCAATTAAACCCGAGCTCTTTTTCTATAAACTTTGGAGTTGGAACATGAAAAGTATATAATAACACCATTTACTTTTGATATAAGGTAGTCACAATTAATTTTGACACCTAAATTTATTCCATTGATCAAGCTCAAACTTCAAAAGAAATTTCATTAATCTTTGTAACACACCTAAGCTATCAGATTTCACATCGGATAGTTACAATTACTTGTAACCTCCTTGTTTGAAAGGTTCTCATTGTATGCAAATGGAAATAGACAAATAAATATATCCTTGTACTGAGAAGTACTGAGTAGAGCAAGTTAAAAATAAATATTTTAGAATAGCCATTTATTGATCTACTATTATTCCAACGGGTACTAATTATTACACCTTACATCATTTATTTGTAAACATATTTTGAGAAAAAAGAAGGTAGTGTTGCTATTGAGGAGGGAATTCTTAGGTTTTGTTGCTATTGTGGAGGGAATTCCTTTTGTAATTATAACCATGCGACTAGGTTTTGGAAATAATTTTAATTAATTTGAAATTTGAGATTGTTTACTTTAAAAAATAAAACTTGCCAAAAAAGACTTTGGAATAGAGAAAGCATGTAAATAAATTAATCAATATGAATTTGAGGTTGTTTACTTTAGAAAAAACTTTGTCAAAAAAAAACTTTGGAATAGGAAAAGCAAGTGCAATAAGACAGCAGAAAGGGAGGGTTGTAGCTTGTTCCTCAATTGCTATTTTGATTACATAGCATAAGTTATTATGAGGATTATAGTATTTTTTTTTTTTCCTCTCTCTATTAAATCTAAAGGTCCAAGATTATTGTACACTTCCTTTTCTTCACTATAAAACGTTGAGTTAGATATATTTTATTGTAACAACGTGCACTTTAAACATCAATCTAACTATAAAATAAATAAATAGATAAAGAAACACTCCAACATAAGAGAGGTTCTCTAGTCAAATAATGAAACATTATAGTGCAATAACACTAATTTATTTCAGAAACCTCAGTGAGAAAGGTTGAAGGAGAGAGATTTATTGATCCATAGCTTCCAGTTAGTGGCGTGCCCTTTGACCATTCCTCCCCTTCTTCCATGTTGTTTATGCTATTCACCAAAGTAGTATTCCTCCTGCTTCTGCTTCTTTTTGTAGAGAAGAAAGTTCCTCCCTCCAGTCCTACCGATGGGCACCACTGGACTCAGAGCTGCATTTCAATTCACCCATTAAAACCTTTGCATGTAGAGTTTAAACAGTATATATGGAACAAAAACAATGAAAATGAAAGGGAAATAGCATTAAAAAACCAGTCAGTCATTTGACAGGGAATGATAAGGAGGCATAATAATATGATCAAGAGATAGAGAGAGAGCAATTAAAATGGGGTAGAGAAATATCAATAATAAGAAGTAGACAAATAATTAGATTTAGAGAGAGTAAAACTGATCCCGATTAAGAGGAAAAAGATGTAATAAAATCTCTCTACCATCTGAAGAGAGAGAAACTGGAAAAAAAATATAGGGGAAGGAATAGAGAAGCTCTTGCAAAGAGCGATACAAAACAAAATAGCAAACATGTGACTGGAATTAATTGATAAGGGAATTTATGAAGAGAGCGACATCAAACCTATGAAGTCAGAATTGGCGCAATAGACGAAGAAGTCGTCAAAATTATTGCCGAGGAAGGGGAGTCTACCCTCACGAGGGTAGGATCGAAGCGCAGTCTGAATAGCAGTGCGAACTGTGTCATCGACCCTCACAAGAAAACGTGGGGGGCCTGTGCTCTCTTGAAATAAGCATGAGATCTGCAACCTGTAGCAAGAAACCCAATTCGAACAACGTTTAATTCCAAGAACAAGACATTAACAAAAAAAAAAAAACGAGTAACGTTTCTAGAGAGGGAAAGGAAAGGAAAAATAATTTCAAGAACAAAACATTAACAGAAAAAAAAAAAAAAGTAGCAAAGGAAGAGAAGAAAGAGAAAGAAACATGGAATCAAAGAAATAGAGAGGGATCAAAGAAAAAACACGAAAATAAAAAACAAATGAAAAGAGAGAGAGAGATTTTACTTGATTCTTTTTGAAGAATGCATGGAATACATCAAGAGACCTCAATAGACCCCGCTTCTTCAGACGTTTAACTCCCATGGGTTTCTTCCAGACATTCACCTAGTTCGAGGGCTGAGAAACCGCCATTTTTAGAGAGGGAAACAGAAGGAGGTGCGAGAGAGGAGAAGAAGGCGCATAATCTAGAGAGAGGAACTAATTTGGGGTTAGGGCAAACAATTGGGGCAAATCAATTTAAGGTTGAAATTCAAGGGATCGAGGCGAGGGCAAACAATTGGGGCAATTCAATTTAAGGTCAGTGAAAGAAATTCAAGGGATCAAGCTCAAGACAGCGGTAATACCAGCCCTTGTTAGATGATCCAGAGGATGAGACATGGAAAAAGGGGCCACTGCTCGTGGGCATTTGCTCTAACACGGCTAAACAGAGGAAGAGCCCTAACATTCGTAAAGAGAGGAAGAGCCAACATCAAGAATGAAAGTAAAAGGATCGGCAATAAGAACACTGAGAACGTGGGATGGGGTATGGGGGATCAAAAGAGAGGAGGAGAAAAGTAAAGAGAGGAATCGTATTCTTACGGGAGAATGCAACTGGGTTTTAATACTCTTCTCTCCCCCCAATTCCCCGTCCTAGTTTTATCTAGATTGCTGTTCCGAAAGTTTAGACCAAATTTGTTTCGAGGCGATATAGGTTTTGGCTTGGTTTACCCTCCTTTCTATTTTATTTATTTTTAATATGTGCCAGTTATTTTGTCCCCTCTAAATTTCCACTTTATTAAACTTTTATTTTGAATTTTTATTTTTTGATTTACTTTTTAATATCATTTTTTATCACCGATTCAAACCCTATCTGCAATGCTGATAGTGATCTGATATGGATATGTGGGTGAATAAATCACCAAGTTTTCAACTAGCGCTCTCAATGTTTCAAAACTTGGATTGGTGACCCAGATTTGCCATAATGGAAATCGATCTTGACCAGCAGATCAACGATCCAGATCAGTGGATTGGCCTAGTATGTAAACACTAAGAACATGTTTCTTGTCTGAATGTTGTTGACTATTACATTTATTTTGTAGACAAAATAAAGTTTAAAATGCAAGATAATATTGATTTCTCTAAATCAATTCTTTTTTGTTTTGTATTTCTCTAATCTCCAATCTCACTTGCGCAGTTGCGCTTGTAGAGATAGAGGGTCATACCTACTAATTTATTATTATTATTTTTTTGAAAATTAAATTTTTAAATGAATTATTTTTATTTCATATTTTATTAATGTTTTATTTCTCTAGAGGTGTTGTATTTAACTTTATCTCTCTAAAACTATGTATGTATGGGTGCGGTTTGTATAGAGCCTAGGCTCTAAACAATCAAATTAGAGCCTACCTTCAAATAATGTTGAGAAATGTTGTTTCAACACTGAAAATCTTTGTGATAGTCTTAAAGTACATTTTCATCTTTAATTATAAAATTTAAAGCTTCAAAACTAGTGTGGATCTAGCAAATCTATAAGAACTTGAAAATCTTGAAATTGACTATCCAAAAATGCGTTACAAGATGCACTATTTCTAAAACTCGAAATCTATTTTTTTCCTATGTCCATGCATCGTGATGTCGAGATAATCAATTTGAGGATATTTGGGCATCAAAACAACCTCTTTTA